TGGTCTTGTAGTGGTGAAGGACAGGCAGGCATTACAAATGCTATTCCTGGCTTCTGCCTCATCTACCAGCATGGCTGCTCTTCTGTCTTTGAGGTCTTCCTTGATTGCTTCTCTGCACGGCTTTGTGAGCTCTGCTGTTCGCTTGCGGTTGCCTGAGGCATGCACCAAACCACGTTGGTGAATATGCTCAAGAGTTTTTGAAGACAAGCACTTTTTGTGGTTATCTCTATCTTGGTGTTCCTCGCACAATCAGGGAGGTGCTGAAACAGTCGATTGTATTCTTCATCAATGTTGTCAATGACGGCATCTTCCCATATTGCCGCAACAGAGCCAAAGAGCTCCCAGTTGGTGTTCGTTCTGGGAGTGCTCTTCTTAAACTTTGCATTTCTTAGAATAGAGGAAAGTAGTATGAGACTAATATCTAAGGATAGAACAAAACAGGGGCCAGGAGGACTGGTCACGTTTGGAAGCATGCCACAAGTATGCGGGGAGGTAAATTAGAATAAAAAAGGGACTACTATGATATTAATAGTTGGAAAAGATCACTCTGGACAAGAACTGAGTGCTGAAAGTATGAAAAGGGATAAATACATGATAACCTTTCAGTATCTGTATTGCAAACCATAATACTCAAAATATCCAAAGAGAGAGAGAGAGAGAGAGAGAGAGAGAGAGAAGAGAGAGGAAAGGAGAAAGAGAAGAGAGAGGAGAATAAAGAGAGACAGAGAGAGAGAAGTGCCTACCATAGGAGCAGGTGGGGTGAGGGGTGAAGGCAGGAGGGAAACTGGTTAGTAGGTGATGGGAAATGTACACTGGTAAAGAGACATCTATTGGAACATTGTATGACTAAAACCTAATCATGAACAACTTTGTAACTTTGTATCTCATGGCGACTCAATAAAAAATTAAGTTAAGGTATAAAAAAATACTCTTAGTAGAAAAAACAGGTATATATAACCTTGAATACAACAATGGATACTTAGTTATGGTATGAACAGCAAAAGCCAAAAAAAAATTATAAAAAATAAAATATTCTTTATAAAGATAAAAGCCTCACATTTCTTTTTTTAAAATTGTTTTTATTAGTGAAACACCATGAGGTACAGTTGTAGACTTGCAAATTTTTGTGCTTGGGTTTCAATTATACAATGATCAAATACCCATCCCTCCACCAGTGCCCATTTTCCACCACCATGGATCCCAGTATCCCTTCTACTCCCGTCCCCCGCATCCCACCCTGCCTCTGTGGCAGGGCATTCCCTTTTGTTCTCTCTCTCTTGTTGGATGTTGTGGTTTGCAAAAGAGTCATTGAGTGGCAATCATGTTTGGTCTATAGTCTACTTTCAGCATGTTTCTCCCATCCTGGGAGGATCCTTCCAACACCATTTATTTGGTGTTCCCTTTTCTATCTGAGCTCCCTTTTCCCTTAGCATGTGTGGCTATCCTCCAAGCCATGGAGCAAACCTCCTGGTACTGATCTCGGCTATTCTTGGGTATTAATCTCCTATTTTGTTACTTTATGTACCCCAGATGCATGCAATCTTTCTATGTCTATCCCTCTCTTTCTGGCTCATTTCGCTTAGCATGATACTTTCCATGTAGTACCACTTGTATGTAAATTTCATGACTTCATCTTTTCTAACAGCTACATAGTACTCCATTGTATAGATGTACCAAAGTTTCTTTAACCAGTCATCTGTCCTTGGGCCCTATGTTTTTTTCCAGATTCTGGCTATTGTAAACAGTGCTACAATGGACAAACAAGTGCAAATGTCACTTTGACTATACTTTTTTGCCTCTCTGAGATATATTACCAGGAGTGGTATTGATGGATCAAATGGGAACTGAATTTCTAATTTTTTGAGAATCATCCATACTGTTTTCCAAAAGGGCTGTACCAGTCGGCATTCCCACCAGCAGTGGAGAAGTGTCCCTTTCTCGCCACATCCGTGCCAGAATCAGTTGCTTTTGTTCTTTTGGATATGAGCCAGCCTCAGAGGCGTGAGATGGTATCTCATTGTGGTTTTGATCTGCATCTTTCTGATGATTAATGATGTAGAGCATTTTCTCACATGCCTTTTTGCATTCGGATTTCTGCTTTGAGAAAATTTCTGTTCATTTCATTGCCCCATTTTTGATGGGGTTGGATGTTTTCTTCTTGTGGAGTTCAACCAGTACCTTATATATCTTTGATATCAACCCCTTGTCGGATGTGTATTTGGAGAATATCCTTTCCCATTCTGTAGACTGTCTTTGTATTTTGGTCACTGTTTCTTTTGAGGTGCAGAAGCTTCTTAGTTTATGATAGTCCCATTTATCTATCTCTGTTTTCACTTGCTTGACCAGTGGCCTGACATCTTTGAAGATACCATTAGCTTCAATGTCATGGAGGGTTTTGCCAACTTTGTCTTCAATGTACCTTATGGATTTCGGTCTGATGTTAAGGTCTTTAATTCATTTGATCTTACTTTTATACATGGTGTTAGGCAGAGTTCTGAGCCCATTTTTTTTTTTTTGGATGTAGCCGTCCAGTTTTGCCAGCACAATTTGTTAAAGAGGCTTTCCTTACTCCATTTCACATTTCTTGCTCCTTTATCAAACATTAGATGATCATATGATTCAACCCTGTTCCATTGGTCTGCAACTCTGCCTTTGTTCCAGTACCATGCTGTTTTAATTATTACTGGAAAGCCTCACATTTCAAATAAAACTATCACGGAAGTGAAAAGACAAATCTCAGAACAGAAAAAATGAACGTCTCTCTTGAGTATCCACCTCCAGTCTCTTATACAAATGTTTTCTGCATCAGCTCCACCCCTCTTTATTTCCCCTCTTTTTACTGTCTCTGAGTCTTTCATTTCTACTTGTCACCTCCTTTCTTATTTCTTTTCTGTACCTGCTTAGACATCACTTCTTAATTGCAAAGTAAAAATGATCATTCTCCAATGCAGCCTCATTACTTTCCCCAGAAAGTATATCTAAACCTCAGCTCCTCCACTGAACCCACACTCAAAGGACCAAGACGTGCTATCTTTTCAAGCTGCTACCCACACGGAGAAGAAAACAAGGTTATCTAACTTTCTGACATCACGAGCTAGAAACCTCTCTTCCCCTCAACCCTGTCACCCCTCACCCTCCACTATCCCACCCTCCCACCCCTGGAATTGCATACTGAGCCACAGAATTTGTACAAGTGCAGTTTGGGCTTTATCTTTTCTTTTCCTATAACCAGTAAAACCAGATTGGGTAACTCCCCATCCTTGAAACTCTTCCTGCCTCCAAACAGCCCCATTCAGTCACCAGGCCCTGCTAGTTATGCTCAGCCCTAACTTTGGGTCTCACAACTTGCTGCCAGACCTGAGTCAACAGGATCATCAGCTGTGGTGAGGACCACCAGGACTGAGCTCTGGGATATTTAAGCGGGGAGGGGATCGAGAAAAGGTAAATTTCAGTTTTTGTTTCTGCCTCAATTTGCTCTGGAGAACAAGGAACAGCTTTTCCCTCTGGTCTTCTGGACCATCAGTTTCACGCCCATGTTTGAGACAAACATAGTATTTCTTGAGACACAATGTAATGCAGACACTCTGCCTCTTAGAAAACCTGAGATAAAATGGATTATAAGGCAAAAATGTTATAAAGAGGTAGGAGTAAAGAAGGTTATAACTGATGATATTTAATTATTTTATTTAATACATGGACAAAATATATGGACACACATATATGGAAAAAAACTAAAAATAATGGTTTTATATGGAGACGTTACTGGGCCCGCTGGAGCAAATCAATGAACAACAGGAGAACTGTGACTGTGACCGTGACAATGATATTTATAAAGAATTTACAAATTTCTTTTTTTGATTTTTCATTTTTTGTACATGCTTAGGCGGCAGGACACATTGTACATTGTTATTTCGTCCTATTTGGAACTCGTCGGTACAGTGTAGCTGAAGAATACATAATGCAAAGCATTATTATTTATCAACCCCAAAGCATATAAATATGTCTGCTTGGATACCAACTGCCTAAAAGACTCTCAGCATGTCAATCTGTCATGAAAATGGGAGTTTAAATAAAACTTGCTAGATTTTTTTATTTCCTAATATTTTAATTATTTAATTATATATTATATATAACAATATATAATATATATAAATAAGCTATATTATAATGGGCCGCTCCCAGAAGTTCTTGGGATGTGAGGTAGACACTTCCAGTTACTCTCAGCCCTGACTTGGGTCTCATAATTTGATGTGAGGCTGAGCCAATGGGATCGTCAGCTGTACTGAGGACCATTAGGGCTGAGCTGTAGGTGTTGGAGCGGGTGGAAATCACACTCAGGGCCTCAAGCATTCTAGGCATGTGCTGTACTGCTCCAACTGGCTTTTCAGCCCAAGAATGGGCTGATACTCTGAATGTTTCTCAAAATGAAAATGCTGAAGTGTAAAAATTACTTTGTTAATAAGTAGAATTATTTAAGATGCAGAGAATAAGAATACTGCTTAACAATATTACTTTAGGGGCAGGAGCGATGGCACAGCAGGTAGAGTGTTTGCTTTGCACATGGTTGACCTGGGTTCAATTCCCAGCATCCCATATGGTTCCCTGAGCACTGCCAGGAGTAATTCCTGAGTGCAAAACCAGTAGTAACCCCTGAATATTGCTGGACATGACCCAAAAAGAAAAAAAATAGAAGATTACTTTAAAAAGTATCTCCCTACATGTGTAATAGACAGCAAAATAACTCTGAACATAATTTAAATTACCAAATCACTTAGGTTTTTCTCATGAGCTGTTAAAGAGATTTTGTCTGGTTTTTCAAATAGTCATTTTCTGTCCAGTGTTTGTAAGGAAAATAACAGTCTATGCAGGGAAAGTTTTACGTATAATCTAGAAGTGGAGTTCTTGATGTTGACTTCTTTCTCTGGGTTCAAGTTATAAGTATTAATTTGTACCTAAAGGTCTATTTAATTTAGAATCAACTTGTCACAAATCTCTGTTTCATTTTGGTGAGGGAAGGCTCCCTGCGATTCTCTCTGACTCAGTTTTCATCTTTGCTGTCAACTGATATTACACATTTTTAGGTCAACACTTTGAGAAAAACATTCAGCAACTGTAGATAACAAGTACAATGCAGCTTTTCTACTCATGAGTTTGAAGCAATTTGACAGATGGACACATTGGGCTTGCTGCAAATCCATTTTTTGTCTGAGTAAATCCTGGCACTGCTCAGGCCATTGTCATTCAAGTAGGCACATTCCCCAGTTCCTCTGACCTGAAACCTGAAACAAAACAATTATTCCTACACTAAACATCTTGCATTCATTCCTCCATGTCATCTGTAATACCTCTAGTCAACTTTTTTCAATAGAAGAAGCTCTGTAGCACTGTCCTCCAGTTGTTCATTGATTTGCTCGTGCAGGCCCAGTAACGTCTCCATTGTGAGACTTGTTGTTACTGTGTTTGGCAGATCGAATACTTCACGGGTAGCTTGCCAGGCTTTGCCGTGCGGGCGAGATACTCTCGGTAGCTGGCCGGGCTCTCCAAGAGGAGCGGAGGAATCGAAACAGGGCTGACCAGGTCAGCCACGTGCATGGCAAACGCCTTACCCACTGTGCTATCGAAGTAAAAAAAATATATCACTTATGTGACTTATTAGTAATAAACAACATTTTTATATTTAGTTTTTCTTTACATTTTCAAGACACATGTTTGAACACCACCAACTATATGATTCACCCAATACAAATCTAGTTATATTGTTGATCTAGTCACTTTATGTATTTTGTCATGTTGTATCAGTGAAAATCATTCTCAATCTTCTCACTAACTACTTCATAAATGTATAAGATAAAAATAGTTATTAGCAATGTGCTAAAGAGCTTTATTTTGATGAAAGTGATCAGGCCTTTATATTTTATACATCTCCAATGACCTGATTGAACTGTCGACAACACAGGGAGCTACAGTTTCTACTGGTAAATCTCCCAGAGAGATTTCCACAGGTTCTCTTTGAACCTTTATTCCTTACTTTTGTGAATGGATGCAGCAACTGGAAAATAGATTTTTGAAGGTTTTATAGGGATCAAATTATCAGTGATTTTCTAGGATTTTAGAATACTTCCCCCACCTCTTTTCCACTGCATACCAGCAGCTTTTTATGCCTTCTAAACCAATATTTCATCAGAAAAACATCTGAATCATGATATTAAAGTATAAGAACATACACATGGCATTATCATATTAAATATTTAATCTAAAATGACAATGAATTGAGTTTTCAAGGAACTGGCTAGTAAATGGAAAGGCATAGAAAGAAGTTCTATTTCTTTTACAGTACTATAGGTTTTCTATATTAAAGTTATGTTTTATAAACACCCTAAGTCATCATGGCAAAAGGAAAAAAGTCTCAATACATACACAGTGTTGCCTCCAGTATTATTTGTCCATTTCCAAGAGTGACTTGGCGATTCTCTGCTAAGGCCTATCCAGTGGTCGTAAGGGCCTTTGTATCTTTTCAGAAATTTCTATTATAAAGAACAAAAAGTGAAAACATGCATCTTTCTCATTTACCACTCCTGAGTCGGTATTTCCTGCAGTCTTCTACTGGGGATGACAGCAGGGTATAATTGAAAAAGTTATTCTCTACCCTTTTCTCATCCTGAATCATTATTCTCTGTCTCTGCTCCTAAACCTCTTTGTTTAAAAGAATCATTTCTCCCAATGTTAGTGGCAAAGTCTCTTTGTGCCTATTGTTTTAGTATATTGTGAACACTGTAACTCCCATAATTTGAATGAAAAATTATGTGAATACAATAATTCTCTACACAGGGAACGGTTCATCTAAGCTTCTAGGTCGACCTTGAGGATTACATGGGAGAACGTATCTGACATGTCTCACTGGGTTCTAGGCAGAGAATTCAACACATGTCAGAAGCTTGTCTGTGCCCTGTGCTCCAGACTGAATTGAGGACTTTGTTATCTTTCAGCTTTAGCCCGGTGCAGCCCCCCACCCTCTGTGGGGGAGCTCCCTATTCAACAGATGATATGCTTTTAAAAATTTGTATTATACGCTGGATCATTGGGAGAAATTGGACGGGGCCACTTCCTGCAAAGCTCAGCCCAGTGTGCACCAGCAGTGCTAGGGCAAGCAGGGTGACACGCGGACCCTGGGGTTTTTGGCATGTGGTGCTGGCAGCTGAACTCAGGGCCCTGAATATGACAGGCATGTGTTTTCACACTCGTACTGTCTGCCTGGTGCCTCAGAACAATATTTACCAATTCATCTGAGGTGTCAATCTGCACAAGATGAGCTTCCAATAAGTCACAGAAAGTCTGGCTGAATGTCCAGTTCCCTGTTTCTTCAGAAAAATAAAAGCACTTGTTTCCAAATCCAATCCACATTGGTGGGCATGCGGGATGCTCATGCATTTTTGAGACTTGTATTTCTGCCGAGACTGCTCTTTCTTTTCTTACTAAAATTTGGATAATCACCACAAAACATAATAAATATATTTTCTTTATTATTTTAATCTATTTTCTCACTTATCATTCTAAGGTTACTGCTAACATTATAGACTGGTAATTGTAATTTTCTAACTCATCAGAAAGTTTTATCCTAAGTACAATAGTCAACTATCCCCTGGTCGGGGGTATCTATGCATCGCATTTTACAAGGTGTACATTGATATTAATGATTTAGGGATAATAAATTTATAAAGCACCAAGTCCATGGTACTTCTTATAGATAATGCTAATTTCTGCAAAGAGTAAGTACATGATATTCCTAGTATATCATATAGATTCTCTTCTTCTATATTTCCCTTAATATTAGCTCCTATTCCTCTTGACATCTCTCATATCCTGAATTTTACTATGGTGCATACTCAGGAGCTATAAAAGCTTTCTCTGGACAAAAATAACAACCCAAATATTATTCTGTTAAGAAAAATACAATGCAGGGCTTTCTACATTTTTACCTTTTTATTTTATATGTACTTTTAAAAAAATGAATAAAACATTGTTGGCTCTTCTTAAATATTCTGAAATAATATTTCAGAGTAAGGTGTAGGAAGAATCAACTATTCTCATTTCACATTCTTTCTGAATTTCTTGCTCTCCTTTAGATGATAAGACAACATTGTTCTGTAGGACCAGTGAAAGAAAAAATAATAGTATCAAAATAAATTTAGCACCAATGATGATTTTAATTTCCCCACATTTAAAGAAAAATAATCTCTTACATTTTTCTCAATCTTTAACCCTAGAGAGCTTAGATTAGAGAGCAGAGAGCACATGTGTGTCGAGATCAGTATCACTGTTTCTTTAAAAAAGAATGAAGCAAGAGCCCTGGAGCAATAGTACAGTGGGTAGGGTGCTGACTTTACATACACAACCAGGACTTGATCTCTGGGAGCTCATAAAGTCTACAAGCCCAACCAAGAGATACCCATGTGCAAAGAGCCAGGTGTAAGCCCTTGCCATAACCAGGTGTGTCACTCCCCAAACAAAAATACCCCGCTAAATTATTAGGCAGAATCACTTATACTTTAAATTATGCTGAATAATAAAAAGACATTGGTAGACCCGGGATTGGAGATTTTACATATTGCACTGTGATAAAACTCAAGTAGAAATATAAAATTATGGACATTTTGTGCTTGCGTTATCTCAAATGAACAGTGGTAGTTATCAAGAGAATTCAGATTCTAAATAGAGAAACTTAAAAAGAACAGTATCACAAGACCATTTTTAATTGACATTTACAAATATTCTAGGGACTATAATTCTAGGAACTATATAATTAGCAACAATTTAAACTTCAGTAAAAATTGTTAGTTGTTATTAGATTTAACAAATTCTTTAAGATAGACTCAGAACATGCCTTGTTTATATGAGACCCTCACTTGAATCCCCAGCTTGCATCTCCTCTTCCCTTGCTCTTCACCCCAGCCAAAATAAGAAATAAAAAAATGTCTGGGTCACATTATGAGTGGTTGGAAAAAGACCTGATTAGAAATAACAAAATCAGAATAGATGAAATAATTATTTATTAATACCAAAAAGTCATTTATTTCTGACCAATTCCACATACAAAGAATTTTTTGCAAGGCATATGGTATTGTACTTTTGAACATTCTCTGTGCAAGAAACAGATCCAAAGATAAAAACCCCTTGATAAAGCTTTCTCTTATCAGGATAAGCTTGTAAGGGTAAGCTTGATAAACCTTGATAAACCTTGATAAAGCTTTCTCTTATCATTTCTTGCCATGGTTCAGCAGAAAATTCTTAGAGTTACCTAGGGGTCTCTTTTTGCAAATCTTCATAGGCAATCTGTTATAAAATACTGTGACTCCAACATTCAAAGTATCCAGAACCCACTACCCTACCACACCCCACACTGCGCCTATCAGGTCTAAGTTATCACCATCCCTCACCTAGATTTCTACAAGATCACCCGAGTAGTTCTCCTTGATTCTCCCCTTCTCTTCTAACAATTATTTCTCAGTAGCAAAAATGATCATTTTCCAATACAAGTCTTGGAGCCATGACATTCTTCTTTACAACTCTCCTTTCATGACCTTCCCTGCTCTAATCAAAGTTTAATCCATAGTCTTGATGTCACTACCAAGGCCTGCTGGATCCATCCCATGATTCTTACTTGGTCTCAATTTGTCCTAACCCAGCAATCTCCTGCTCTTATTCAAAGCACTAGGGATATTGCTTCTTTGGGAATTTTGCTCTATTGTTTTCTGTGCCTGAGTAGTTTTCCCCAAGCATCAGTACGCTACCTTCATCTCCTTCAAAAGTTTGCTGAAAGGGAGAGATTCCTACTGAAGAGTATGTGTCACTCCTATGTGCATTGCAGCTTGTTTCCCTACCCTGTACTTTAATTTATAATGACAGCTATACTTCCTTCTGGAATATTGGAAGAAGGAATTTTTATGTTCCATTCGCCAATATACCCCACACACTTTGCACAGTTTCTGGCATAAAATAGAACTCAAAGGGATATTTATGTATGATCATAACAATATATGGAGAAAATTATAGTTTGTAAAGCAAGTAAATTACCTGTCAAAGTAACAGAAAGTATAACCACAGATATAACTATGGCCAAAGTACTGATGAGGCAGAAAGCATGTCTGTGAAGAGTTTCACAACTTCGAGTTGTTCTATATTTTTCTTGGTTATGTGTACCTTTAAAGTAAAATATCAGAATCTCATTTTTCTGAAAGCTTTATGAGAAAAACAATTTTATCACAAAAATATACTTCCTAAATCAGCTGTACCACAATTTCCCTATTGCCAATCCCTTTCACTAAAGGTCATGACCCATATGCTATTATCATGGGTCTGAAATAAAAGAAATAGAATAGAATCTCCAGCCATAAGAAATCCTACAGCTATAGGCAAAGGAGGTCAGGAAGATGGAAAGAAATAGCAAAAGGTAGAAAGGTAGAAAAGGTAGAAAGGTAGAAATGTCTGGTGTGAGGATCAGCAGTGAGGCATATCCCTCCTCTGTGTCAGGTCAGGGATTAGCTCCCCACAGTCTCAAAGACATGCAGATGGCCAACAGGTGCATGAAAATGCTCCTGTCATTCATTAACAGCAAGATTCTGATCAAATGACACAAGCAGATGTCACCTCACATGGTTTAGAGCTGCTGGTCTGGAGAAGAATCAAACTGTTGGTAAAGATGTGGGGAGAACCTATATCTAGCTATATTAAATCCTGAAAACTCAAAATAAGAGTAATACACAACTTGAAAGTGGGTTTCGAATCATCCAATTTGCATCTCTTAATATAAAATTGAAGAAGATGTGTAGATGACAAATTAGCACATAAAAATGTATTCAAGATAGCCTGAATTAAAGAAATGCTAATAAAAATCTGAGTTACCTCTCTCTGCCTATTGAGAGTTTATATTAAAACAAAATAATACAACCAAGTGGAGAATTGAAATCTCAATCACTGATGTTGAAAATATAAGATGGTACAGCCACCTTGCAAAGGCAGCTTTGCGGTTTGGTGCAGTAAATACAAATTTATCATGTGCTATTCTTAGCATGGTATATTTTGATATCAAAAACAATGCTGTTTGGTATTTATACAGGAGAAATAAAGCTTAACTTTACTCAAAAACCTGCATAGAAACATAACACTTTTATTCTTTTATTTTAGGTTTATTTATAAATATACACATATATAATTTTATTAGTAATTCACCTTGAGGTACAGTTATATACTTACAAACTTTCATGCTTACATTTCATTCATATAATGGTTGAGTACCCATCCCTCCACCAGTGCCCATTCTCCACCACCAATGATCCTAGTATTCCTCCTACCACTCCAACACATCCCCCCCCCCCCCAACCCCACACCGCCTCTGTGTCAGGGAATCCCTTTTTGTTCTCTTTCCTTTTGGGTGTTGTAGCTTGCAATAGAGGAATTGAGTGGCCATCATGTTCGATCTATAGTCTACATTCGGCATGCATCTCCCAAACTGAGAGGGTCTTCCAAACACCCTTTACTTGATGTTTCCTTCTCGATCTGAGCTGCCCTTTCCCCCAACATGTGAGGCCTCCAAGCTGTGGACTAAATATCCTTGTCTTTATCTTTACTATTCTTGGGGTAACACCTTTATTTTTTTAGCACTAAATTCTGGCAACAGTTTAAATCCTGGTGGGGAAAAAGAAAATGCCACCCAGCACCAAGCAAAAGGAAGAATTAACTCATGGTCACAACTGCTAGTTTCTTATTGGACTTTGGCCTGACCAAGGTCAACAATCAGCTTCTCTGTTCCCTGTAGACCCCTAAACTCTGGGTTACCCCCATGTTTCAAAAAACATTAAAGCATTGATACTGGGCATATCTGCCTTTAATAGCTCATTTTGAAAATCAGCAATAAGCAGTTTACTGCTGGAGTAACAAACATAGGACCCCCTTATGTGCTCTTCTCCTCGTGATTCCAAGTCAGTGTACTGAAATTAAAATCAATAAAGTTCCTGCTCACTTTCCTTCAACTACTGCATTTCCCATGGATCTTCCAGGATCACAGAGTTTTGACATAAGTTCTAGTAAGGGAAGAAGAAACGTAGGACTGATGGTCTAAAACCATTCTCAGCAACATTTCAGGAGATGTCTTTAGACAAAAATCTTATCTCTCATTCTTTCTGGCCCTGCATCAAAAAAAATATGTCCTCGAATGTGATTGCCACCCAATGTCTCTTCTGCAGACCACAGCACCCAAAAGGAGAGATAGAACAAAAGGGAGTGCCCTGCCACAGAGGCAGGGTGGGATGGGAGGTGGGAGGTGGGAGGGATACTGGGTTTGGTGGGGGTAGAGAATGGGCACTGGTGGTGGGATGGGTACTCGATCACTGTATAAATGAAAGCCAAGCACAACAACTTGTAAGTCTACAACTGTACCTCATGGTGTTTCACTAATAAGACAAAACAAAACAAAAAAAAATATGTCCTAAAAATTCAGTGTATTCCATAATTTTTGACTGGGACATGGGTAAGAAGTAAATTTCCCTTCAATTCACCAAAAATCTATTTGCCACTCTTAGCAGTCTCCCCAAACCTCCCTTTCTTTTTACCTTTATTTCCCTGAATCTAATGTTCTCCCCAGCATCATGCTCCATCCCTCTCTTTTTTCTCTTCTCCCACCTGAACTATCCTCTCCCAATCCTCTTCAAAGTCATATGCCACCTATATTGCACTCTGACACCATAACCATTGAATTTCTAGTTGGGAATATGGCATCAGTCACGATCTCTCAAATGAACAAAGAAACTAGCCAGATGTTTTCCTAATATAAATGTTAGTTTCATAACCCAAAAGCAGTTCAAAATTTGCTTTTTTCATGTGAAACATTCTTACCAGTCAGTTTAGCTTAATAAGTATGACATCCTGATTGGTCAAATAGCTTTAGTTAGTGAAGCCTTATCTTAGTTGACAAATATTAGCATTTTAATTAATTTGTTACTAAATACAAACCCTATTTTATGGGAATACAATAGTGTATCTTCACAAAGAAAAAATAAAATTCAGGGAGAGTAGAGAGAGAAAGAA